CACACACACACACACACACACACACACACACACACACACACACACACACACCACACACACACACACACACACACACGCAGTAAATAAATGCGATTTTAAAGAACGAATGTTTTTTTCTTTTGGGCCTCGAAGGAGGGGTGAGGAGGAGGGTGGAGAGTCTGGACACACCGCAGGGCTGGCTCACCGTAGACCCGCACGTGTCCGTAGCCCACCTCCGTCTGCAGCTGTCTGTTGAGAGTCTGAAGAATGTAGGTGCCCGTGTGTCCCCGCAGGGCGCCGTGGATCTGGAGGCTGCCATCAGGGCGCACAGCCTCCCGGCCTGTGTGGGCCGGCCCCGGGGTCTCATCCCCAGTGCTGACGATGTAACTGGCCACCAGGAAGGTTAGACTGATGGTAGGCCCCGCGTACCAGCTGTAGGCAAGCAGTTCCCCCGAGAGCCCGTGGACCACCAAGGTGACGTTGTCCCCCTCTGTGGGCTGTGCAGGCTCGGGGGTGATGGAGATCTCAGCCCCCGCGTTCAGGATCCAGGCTGAGAGAGAACAGAAGGAGCAGGTTGGATGGGGTAGGACTGATTCAGTATCTACAAGGTCAGACAAAACCTCCCATATTCACACTTCACCCTGGGATAAAACCCAGAACCTCATCCATGCTAGACATGTCCCCAGCCCCTCACTGGGGGATTCTAGGCAGGGGCTCTACCACTGAGCCACGCCCTCACTGGGGGATTCTAGGCAAATACCCTGCTGTTGACTCCCAGTTCCAACCTATAGCTCTCTGGCCCTCAACATCTCAGTCACCTAATTTCGAGCAGGGAGTGGAGTCTGAACCTTCCTATATAATGGAGAAGGCTTGCCTGGAACTCCTCATCTTCCTGGAAAGTGCTGGGATTGGCAGACAAGCCAGGCTTTGTCACCTGAGCGCTCATAGATCCTGTCTGCACAACTGAGCATAGAGTGTGCCTCTTTCTGAGCACACCTCTGTTTTCTCAAAGTTGATAGAAAAGAGAATCTACGTCCGTGCCACCTGGCTGGACATCTTGTGAGGCCAGCGCTCTGCAGAGCAAGGTGGGGCCAGAAAGTTTTCCATGAGAGGCACCAGGCTGAGACTCAGGACGCTTTGTTCACGTAGCCAGCTGAGTTTGTGACCTTGTGCTAACATCTGGGCCTGCCCAAGTCTTTTTACCCCAGCCAGGGGTGCTCTCTCTGTGTGCCCAAGGGCCACCAGATAGAGAGCAGGGATTTGTGGAGTCTCTCCTTTCCTTTCTCTTTCCTTCCCCACCTTTTCTTTAGTCTCTTCCCTGCCCAGGATCTCTGATATGGATCTGCATGATGGCTTCAAGCTTGCCATATAGCTGAAGATGACCTTGAACTTCTGATCTCCCTGTCTTCACCTCCAGAGTGCTGAGACCCTGGGCACATACCACCACACCCGGTTGATGCAGCACTGGGGGTCAAACCCAGTGCTTTACCAAACCACCAGCATCCCCAGCTCCTCCACCCCTTTCTTCTCCACACAACTCCCAACCCGAAGAGCTGGTCACGGCCGCCTCCTTTTCAGCCTTTCGTGGCAGAAGCCTTAGCCCTGGCATTTCTCACGTTCCGCACACTTGCAGGCCTGGCCTGGTTTTCAGTCCCTTCCCGGTTGAAAGAATGTGGGTGGTCTTGGCAGGTTCTGAGGTTAGGACAAAGCTCTGCCAGGTGGTGTTGTGAGACCCTGGCCAGAAACTCACCTCTTCAACCCTGCCTTTCCTCTCTAGGAAGTCGGCCCACAAGGGACCGTCCCTCTCTGGTTGGTTGCTAACAAGCAGAAAGCAGATAAACAGTAGATCCTATCACTCCTGCTTCTAAGTACCTTTGGCTGATCCTGCCAGCCATGCCCACTTACATACAGCTAAGGAAATGGGCGCTGAGAGCAAGGCAGCAAGATCCAAGCCCGGTGGTCACACTCAGGAGGCCGAGGCATGGGGGGGTTTCTCACATTTGAGGCCAACCTGTGCTATAGAATAAGACCCTGTCTCAACAACAGCAAAAGCCTCCACAGTGCTGGATGTGGTGGCACATGCCTCTGAGCCCAGGAGCAGGAGGCAGAGGCTGGCCGGTCTCTGTGAGTTCAAGGCCAGCCTGGCTTAAAGTGAGAGAGTTCCAGTTAGCCAGGGTAATAGTGAGACCCTGTCTCAAAAATGAAAGACAACATAAGGGTACCGAGGATATACCTCCGTTTGCAGAGTGCACGAAGCCCCAGGTTCAAACCCTCCCAGTACCCCGTCAACTTGGCATGATGGCACAGACCTGTAATCCCAGCGCTAGGGAAGTGGAGACAGGAGGATCAGATGTTCAAGGTCAGCCTCAACTACAAAGTAAGTGTGAGGCCAACGTGGGCTATAGGAGACTTTACCTCAACCCCCCACCCCTACCCCCCAAACCAAACCCAAACAAGAGTCTGGATGCCCTGCCACTAGCCAGTTCTGCAGCTTGCTTTGCTCTGGCTGTGGGGCCCTCTAAAGCACAGCCTGCCAGCCTCTCTTAGTGGCAGTCTCCAGACCGCCCTACAGGCCTCCCCTCAAGAGCAGACTTCTGAAGAGGGAAGCAAATTTGCACATGTCCAGCTTCTGACTCAAGCCTTTTCTCTCCAGGGCCGGGCTTTCTCTCTCTAGCTTGAGGCCCTTGGAAGGTGCAGGGAGTAGGCTGAGGAGCTGGGGGACCCCTTCTCGCTCACCACTGAGGAAGAGCCAGCTGCATGGGGCCAATGCCATCTTTCACCCCGGCCGATGTCCGATATGGTCAGTGGTGATGGTGTCCCAGTGGCTCAGAGGCCCTTCCTGGTTGAGGCTCAGTCTGCCACTGGTCCCGGGATCGCTCGGCAATTTGGAAACGGGGCGGATCACCGGAATTTGGAGGGATCGGGTCACACAGATCTGGGGCCCTGTTTGGGCATTAGGATGGGTGTGGCAGGCACCGGCCAGGGGCCATGACCTGGCCAGGCCTCCTGGGGCAGCTGCCTAACCCACTTGGTGCCAAAGGCCCAGATTTGGTACAGAGAGGAGAACCAGGTCACCAGGAGGAGGGGGAGGGATGCAGGAGGCTTCTGAGGCAGCTCCTGACCACCGTGCTGCTGTCTCCCGAAAGCACAGTGATCACCAAAGGGTAGCTGATGGAGACGTCTGCTCCTCCAGCCTCAGCCCTGCAGGGAGTGACCAGCGTGACCTCAGCTCAGTGACTCTATGGGGTGGCCATCTTTAAGCCTCTCGCCTGCGTGGGTCGTAGAGACAGGAGAGTCCTGAGTTCAAAGTCATCCTCAGCTACACAGCGATTAGGAGAATGGCCCGGGGCCACACATGAGACCCTGTCTCAAAAAATCAAGAGGGAATAAAAGAAGACTTTTTCTTTTTTGGAAACAGCAGCCAGGCTCGATTTGAACTTATTGTGCAGCCAAGGATGGCCTTGAATGCCTGAATTTCCCACCTCTGCCTCCTGAATGTTGGGGTTATGGGTGTTTGCCACCATAGCTAGTGTATGCAGTGCTGGGGAATGAACCTCGTGAACTCTCAGCGAGCACTCTACCCCTTGAGCCAAGCTCTGTCCTTCTATCTGTTTTCTTTCCTTTCCTCTTCTCTCCTCTTGTCATGGGAGGCCGGTGCCGTGTGCCGCCACATGCATGTGCAGGCCAGAGGCTACTTTTGGGGCACCTCCTCTCTTCCATCTGTGGCTTCCAGGGAGCAAACCCAGGTCATCGGGCTTGGCAGCAAGTGGCTTTACCCACCCAGCCACCTTGCTGCTATTTCTTCCCTTTTTCCCAAAACCAGTCATTTTAATTTCTTAATCATGTGATGTCTCTGTCTGGTGCTCTGCACAGCGTGCAGGTACCCGTGAAGGGCTGAGCTGATGGGTGCTCTGGAGTTACAGGTGTCTGTGAGCCTCCCAGGGTGGGTGCTGGGAACTGAACCCAGGTCCTCTGCAAGAGCAGGCCGCCCATTTAACACCGCTGAGCCCTGTACTCTTCTGTGACAGGAGGCCTCATTATGTAGTTCAGGATGGCCCACAGCTCATCTCATAACCCAGACAAAGCTTGACTCATGAAGCTCCCACCATAGCCCCTGAGAGCTGGAATTACAGATGTGAACCACCACATCTGGCTTAACTTTAACTTTTTCCCTTTCTTTCTTTCTCTTTCTTTCTTTCTTTCTTTCTTTCTTTCTTTCTTTCTTTCTTTCTTTCTTTCTTTCTTTCTCTTTCTTTCTTCCTCTCTTTCTTTCTCTCTCTTTCTTTCTTTCATTTATTTTTGAGTTGAGTTCTTTCTACGAAACCCTGTCTGCCCTGGAACTCTCTCTGTAGACCAGGCTGTCCTTGAACTCACAGAGATCCACCTGTCTCTGCCTCCCGAGTGCTGGGGTTAAAGGTGAGGACAGCCACGCCATGTTATTTTCTTGTATTTATCACACTTTATTTACTGGCGAGGGGAGGCTCCTGAGATACTCCTGCCACAGCCAGCCTGCCGAGGTCCGAAGGCAACTTGCAGAAGTCGGGTCTCTTCTACCATCATGTGGGTTCCAGGAACGGAACTCAGCCCATCAGGCCAGGTGGTAAGTGTCTTTACTGGCTGAGCCATCTCCTCAACCTTTTTCTTATTCGCCCCCTCTCTCGCTTGCTTGCCCGCTCATTTTCTTGAGACAGAGTTTCTCTGAATAACTGCCCTGTCCCGGACTTGAAGCTCTGTGACCAGGGTTGCCTAGCATTCATGAAGCCCTGGCTCAATCCCCAGCGCCATATAACCCAGGTGCGGTGGCCCGTGCCTGTTGTCCCAGCACTCGGGAGATGGAGGCAGGAGGGCGAGAAGCCGTCCTCAGCCACCTAGGGAGTTCCAGGCCAGCCTGAGCTACAGGAGACCCTGTCTCCAAACAACAGAAGAGCTCCAAGGTAGGGCTTGAGGGTGTACTGATGCAGGGGAATCGTTGTGAGTTCCAGGCCGGCCTGGGGCACACAGTGAGACCCTGTCTAAAGACAGACAACAAAACAAAACGAACCCCTCATTTAAATGGCAAAGCGGAGCCTGAAAGGGGTTTGCCCCGTGCAAGGAGGCAGAGGGAGGATGTCCATGCGGACGCCTTGGAGTCTTCAGGAAGCATGTTGCGACTTGCAACCTGCTCCTGGGCAGGAGACATAGCTGCAACTCTGCTGTCCTGTTTCCTCCTGTCCTGTGTCCTGGGCTGCCCTCAAAAGGGCTGGGCTGTCTAGAGGGGGAGAAGGCTGGGGAGGGTGGTGGAGGCTGCGCCGCCCCCTCTCTCCCCTTCAATTGTGACCTCATCTTACCCTGCTCTCCCTGCCTGGCCCTGCTTCCACACTGTCACCTGAGTCCTGGGACTGAATCCCGTTGTTATTCAGAATGGTTCCCAATGTCTCTGGCGCCTCTGACTCAACTTGTCCCAAACTGACCTTAGTATCTTCCCAGACCTGCTCCTGCCTCAGCTCTTACCCAGGAAAAGGCCACACTGCCCCTTGAGAGGGGAAGGACCCGGGTCTCAGTCCTCATGCCTTTCTTAGTCCACTAGCACAAAGGCTGCCTACTGCCCTCTGCAGAATACAGAATCCTCTCGGTAGCCACGAGGCCCTGTGTGTCTATCCTCATGTAGTGCTCTCCCGATCTGTCCTTCACTCCGTCTGTCCGTCCATCGTCTGTCAGTCCGTCCCTCCCTTCCCCCTTTCCTCAGTTCCCTGAACCCTCTGTCCCAGGTTCTCTGTCTTCCTTGCATTCTACAGAGTATATCTGAGATTCCCACCACCTCATCTTCTCCACTCCTCCTACAGTGGGCCCTCCTGGGATGACCCCAGCTCCCCGCCTTTCCAAGCCCTGGACACCTTCGTTTCTCACTGTTGAGGGCTGTGTCTCTCCCCTCCCTGCACTGTGTCCCCACAGTGTCCCCAGCACTGTGTAGTTCAGAGTGCTTGTGGAAGTT